TTGTGCCAATACGCATATGAAGCTATTGCTCTCCTTGCCACATCTCCATCCCTCCCTAATCTCCCCTTCTCCAGGCACCCCATTTCCTTTCTGTAGGGGCTGCTCCTGCCTCGCCCCATCTCCACTTGGCTAATTCCCCCTGTGGCCCCTCTATTGAACTGTTGTGTTGTCCATTTCCCTGTGACAAGGGCTCTGGTTACAGAGTTATTGATTGGTTTTCAAGCAGACAGATGGGCCCTTCCTGGGCTCCCATCGAAATCCCTCGTTGTATGGGCAGATTGTTGCCTCTTGGGGTGTAGAATTGCACTGGAGACCACCCTCCACGAGGCCCCCTTTGCCCAGGCTGTGGACGGTAATAAATGGAGGCAGTCTGAGCGATAATAAAAGCAATTGAGTAGGTTACCTGTGCAGACACAAGATTTATGCCTCTTCATATGTGATGTGATTGTTTTATTGAGTTCTCAGAACAGTTGGGACACTATTTATTTATTTATTTATTTATGTTTTCCCATCTCATTTCTTCTTTGCATCACTCTCTACAACCCACCTGGAGCAGTTGTTAGGAACAAGCCCTCCTGTCTACCTCTTCTCGAGAGTTGCCAGCTGAGGTAAGAGCTCAGGGCAACCAGCCTCTGCTCTCACCTGAAGGCCATTCTGTGGCCTGGATACCAACAGAACTAGCCAACAGAGAGACAGTCAGGCCAATGTGACTGCTGGCCAAGAAGCCCAGGCTAAAACAACTAAGGAAACAAAAATGGTCTCTTCAGGACAAAGCCAGCTCTTTGTAAGGGACGGGAGTATCAACATATTATTCTAAGGATGGGCAACCTCATCAGCAGTGGACTGTTTCTGGGGAAAGACAGGTGGGCAAGGCTTCTATGACAGAAACTGGCATGTTTGTCTGCTATTTGTGGGCCCTGTCTGCTAGGTTCAGGGCCACAGAAGGCAAGTTCTCTGTCTTTATTGCTCCCAATTCCTCTGTGGGTAGAAGTTTTTCTTAACTCACCAACCTGCCCTGGCTCTCTGCTATGAGGCCGAAAGCCCTGACCACCAACAGCTTCAACTAACCTTGAAGATGCAGCAGGCAATGCCACCCCTCTTGCCCAGCTTCATGCCAAGCCAAGTCCAGAATCTAATATGTAATGTTCTGGAACCTGAGTTTCAGAGAGGGAGAAATAGACCCTAGCCTTGAATGTGTCTTCCACATTTCCTTGGCTAGAATGAGTGGCTCCCAGCTTATTTGGAAAGGTCTTTGAATGAACATCTGGTAGACCATGGCACCCCACTGCCAGACCTCTAACAAAGACCTGAGAATGACACAAGGGTACATCCAAATGACACAGGATGGACTTCTCTAACATAGCGCTGGGGCTGTAGCCTTCTTGAAACCTGTGTTGCCATGGCTAGGAGAATGAATGTGCTCACTTAGAGCCAAACAGACTAAGGCAGAATGTGGGTAGGGATGATCGGTGAGGAGTTGACTGTGCCAGAGTCCACTCCAAAGATCTAGAGGTGGGGAGTGCCCTCACCCCAAAGAGTGTAGGGCAAGCTTAAAAAGTTAGAAGGCAATGCCCTTATTGTCAGTTCATTCCAAGAAAGCACCCTCAGGGGATCTGCAGTAACCCTAGACTCTATCTGCAGTTTGTGTCTGTTCTTTCAAAGGAGCTGTATTTCCTACCCAGAGCAACAGCCAAACCAGAAGACTTTGGCATATAATCAGGAAAATCCTTCCTGCCTAGTCAATTGCTCGGCAATGTAACTAGGTGACTTTTTCTCCGTTCAGCAGCATGGATCTCCCTCCACCCCTCCCTCCTCCAGGCCATTTCCCACACCAAGTTTCAATCTAAAGTCACCTGTTTATAAACACCCACCCTCTACAGCCGTGATGTACAAGCTGAAGAGCTGGCAACTCTCTGCTCAGCGATCAGTAACCCAAAACTTAGAATGATTCAGATAAATTCCATGTGCTAAGAAACCCAGTCAACCCTCAGGATTTCTGATGGTGGTCTCTGAGAGTGGGGAGACCTCTGTGACCCACTCTTTTGGCTCAGAGAGGCATTTCTACGAGGATTTGCTAAGGTGAATGCAGGGTGGACGGCCAAGCCTTTATCACGACAGGAACAGAGAATGCCAAAATCATTTTTAAAGCATGAAAAGCAATTTAGTTTTTAACCACAATGGCGTATTTCAAGTGCAGCGACAGCATCTGTTTTGGGGAGGAGAAGACGAAAACCCTTTGGCTCAGGTGGGTGAGCATGTGTGGACTCTCTTTCCTGCCAACCACTGGCTCAGGAACATCCTTACTCATAACAGAAAGTACCCAACACAAGTGGACACCTCACCAACAATAAAGCTCTAAAGTCAAGACCCACCCATTCCCCAGTGCACTGCACTTTTTGCACAAAGCAAAATCCCCTGGCTGTTTCTACAATGGGGGAGAATTCTCTAAACTGAGAAAGGGCCAAGTTCCTGACATAACCAGCACCAGCAGAAACATCCCACCTCTGTCAGGATTTAGGGTGAAACAACACACCTGAGAGCAAAGCACCTACAGGGATGAAGAATGTGGTACCCAGATGTGTTCCTCCAGCCCCAACTTGGCTGCACACTGGGAAGCCCCCAGAATTCTTTCTAAAATATGAATGAACCACAGGAGGATCCTGGCTCAAAGCAAAATTGAAAGCAGCCTGACTATTCCTTGTTGACAAAGCAAGCCATGACGCCTAACTGCGGACCCAGGGCTGGCTGCCCAGGCTGCCAGTGGCTTCCCATTCCTGTCCTCCCACTCCCTCTCCATCTCCAGCAACACCTGCCCACAGATGGCCATTTCTCCACACCAAAGGAAGCCTACGTGCTCCTCAGGTGATAGGGTTCTGTGCTGGTGGCTTCTGCAGCTGTCAGAGGTGTCAAGCTGAGGCCGTTCATACCCCCACTCTCATCCCACTTGTGCCGACTTGTCTACTTTCTCCCAGCACTTGTGCATGCACTGCAAGCCCTCTGGAGCTTGATCCAGAGGTCACCTGCTCCCTGCTCTCTATAGCTTTTCAGGATAAAAGTATTCCCCAAACTGTGCCCAAGACAGCTTCCAAAAACATCTCACCAGTGAAGGGTACCTGTTTGGGGGATGGGGGGCAAGGGGTGTTAGGCAAGGCTGCCACCACACCTGCCTTGTTGCTCCACTCCTCCACGCCTTTCAAGAGCAACAGATCACTTTAACCGCACATGTCTTGGGTTCCCCCCAAAGACTTGCAAATTCTATCACTGACAATGAGCATTTCTCTCAAATGTTTTCCAGAACATCACCACCTGGTCCCAGCAGCATTGCTCCTCAGCAGAGCCACTCTTGGCCCCAGCCGTTCTCTTCCCCAGACCTCAGTTCCAACTCAATCCCAGGACCAGCAGCCAGACAAGAGGCTAAGTCTCTGGATGGCTCAGGAAAAAATGCTTTGTCCCTTTCCCCTCCAGTCCCAAGCTTCCCCAGTCTCCTCCCCTGGCTTTTAAATGCAAAGGACTTATTCCTCTCCCAAACTACCCAGGTTCTTTCTCCAGCTCCTTTGGAAAGTATCTGAATGTCAAATCACTATGCTTTCAATACCTGGCTGAGCCATGCCCTGGGAGCTGGAGGGTTTTCGGAGGGTGTATAATTAGCTGATCAGTATTATGTTACCCTGTTCATAACTGAATAACCATTTTAATACAGATGGCACACACTGGGATAATTTCTGGGGTCGCCTCGCAGTACGTTACAGCACGAGTGTGGCAGAGGGAATCTTCTTTAGCCAAGGTACATTCTACCAGCTAATTTTACCTGCTGTTTTCAGGATGATTTGGGATAATTCCATATCATTTGCAAAATATTTTAAAAAAAAGGCTTGATATGGGATGCCAGTTTCAGAAAAAGGCACTATTGAATTATTAGTTGCCCTGATAATGAGCCTATGAAGAGTACAGAGAATAACAAGGGTATGAAGCCTTTAGCGCTCTTATTATTTGGGGGTGCCTTAAAGTGGGGGGGGGGCTAATGCTGTCTGGGACTTGCTTCTAACTGGTGTGCAACTTGGGCAGGGGGTCTCTGTGTACAACTGTCAGGTTGTGCAGTTCTATGATCATGAAGTCAGCCTGGCTTACTGGGCCCAACTGCTGCTCATATGTTCTGTAGCCACTACAGACAGGCACCTTGGCACACTGGCTAGGTGTATACATATGGAGTGTGCACATGTGTTCTCCCAGAGAGCACACTCAAGTGGTTTGGGGATTAGGATACCTAACTATCTTACATATCATTCCCAGATGCTAGAGCCTATCATCAGTGCAAAGACTTCAGCCTAGAGATAGACACCATAGGTGGCTGGGGGCATCTCCCAAGGCTCAGTCTTAGTCTGGAGTTCTCACTCCCTGCCTGCCATCCCACTCCTTATCCAGCTCCTCTATTCCCTGCCAATTGCTGGCTGGTGGTTGGCATTTACTCCACAGGCCTGGATACCAGTGCTTGTAGGCCGGAAATTTGTGCAGAGCTGGCTAGCAAGACTTGGGCTCCTGGGACGCAAGCTTTGTGGGAGCAGGCAGGGAGGGTGGGGGAGCCAGGACAGGCGGCTGCCCCTAGGGAAGGGAGCATGCCTTTAGAAAGGGAAGTCTGTTTGGAGGCAATGAATAGACACTGGTCATTTTAAAGGCTTCGGCTGCGGGCTGTGATTGTCTCTAGATCCCGAGGCGTGTAATCTTGGAGTCTTAATTACCACAAACACTTGGATTCATTTCCAGGACACTGGCGGGAGAAGCCTGGCAGGATTAGCCAGCCCTGAACAGGAGACAGCCCTGTCTGTCTGTCTATCTGTCTCTCTGCCTCCCAGGTCCTTCACCCTGCCCAAAGAACTTTAGGCCAAAAGCGGAGAGGAAGGGCATAGGCTGGACAAAGTGGGAGACCAGCCTCAGGGAGACTCCCCTGTGGGCAAAGGCCAGGAGCTGCAGTCCCACCCTGCAGGCCCCAGTGGCTTGCTCACCTGTTGATGGAAGAGACGCTAGGCACCGTGTCGTTGTCGCAGATGCCCTCGGCCAAGAGCCTGTCGCGAATCTCCCAGGCGAACATAGTCGGGTTCTGTCGTTTGTACTCAGCAATCTTGTCCACCACTTTGGGCGTTGCCACTTTGGGCTTGGAGCCGCCGATCACTCCGGGCTTGATGCTGCCGGTTTCGTAATACCTGCGCCCGGAAGGCGGGTAGGGTCAGCGCGAAGTGGGTAGTGGCAGGGGCAGGGGGGCTGCAGGCTCCAGAGCTGCTGAGCCACTCTCCTGCCCGAGGCAGCGGTGGTGCAGAGGGAAAAGGCCCAATGTGGCTCAGCTGACTTCCAGAGGGTGCTTGGCAGGGACACCGTGGAGGAGGATGAGGGAAGGACAAGGGGGACGCTTCCTCCAGAGAAATGGACACACCAGGGGCTGGGTTCACACCAGCCGCAATAGGCGCCTCCAGGAGTGAAAGCCAGCCTTCAATTTAGGAAGAGCAGAAGGAACAGTGAGGCTTCCCAGCCGACCAGGGCTGAGGCATCACCTCCAGCCTTTTCTTACTGAGCAAAAGGCTGCTATATGAACCAGGACCCTCCTTCCGCCTCTCAAATGCTGCTTTTTCTCCTCTTGGAAATCCGTTTTTGCTCCCTACCCCATTCCTCTAATCCCTATCTGCATTAACACGGCTAGAAAATGCATCTCTCCCTTTCTGAAGCCAGGAATTGGCTGCCTCTCAGCGAGGGCCCTGGAGAAGGGCAGGCACTGGGTGACCGACCCTGCTCCATCCTAGCTCCTGGGGCCCGCGTTCACCACCTGAGCACCCTCTCCAAAAGGAGCAGCTCTCCAGATCCCCTTGAGTTGGGGATTTCCCTCTCCCACTCGGCAGAGGGGTGGGGTGGGGGGGGGCTGTTCTAGACTTTTAGCCAAGTCCTCGGACCAGAGACCCAAGGTTGGCCGGGAAAGGAGGCAGGGCGTCTCCCGAGACAGCTCCGAGGCCCTCACCTGCCCAGGATTTTGCTGACACAGCCGTGGCTGACCCGCAGCTGCCGAGAGATGTCACAGGGCCGCACACCCTGGTGGGCCAGCTCCACGATGCGCTGCCTCACCACGTCGGGTAGGGGCCGGCCGTTCACAAACACCCCCCCGAGCTGGTTCACACCCCCGTGCCCTGCTGGGGAGAGACAAGAAAAAAAAACACAACACCCCACACACAGCAGGGACCGGCCATTAGTCAGGGTCCGCGGGCCGGGATGGGCAGAGGGAGCAGGCAGGGCGGAGGGGCACGTTTCCGAAATCGCGCAGGAAGGTGACGGGCCGACCGCAACACGGAGGACTGGGGACTGGAACCCGCGGGGCCGTAGAAACGCGGAAGGGCAGGTGCTGGGCGGAGGGCTGGGAAAGAACACGATTCTTAGACCGGTGCGACACAAGAAAGTGAAGGAAGGAATGGAGAAGCCAGAGGAGGAAAAAGAAGGGGGAGGGGGGAAAAAACAGCAAAGGGGAATTAATGCTCGCGGGAAAGAACGTGGGAACGCGAGGAGGGAAAGGGCCGGGCAGAGGACGCAGCTAGTGCGGGGCAGGGTCCGCCTGTGCCGCCGGCAAGGGGGGAATTGGTGAGTGCTGGGGCTTGGAGGCGGGTGATTTGGGGGGTTGGGGTTCCTTGACTCTGTCCATCAGAGCCCCAAGCACAGAGAAGGTGAAAGTCCCTGGGACACCCACCCCTTTGCTCTCTGCCTCTCTTCTTGTATTCATTTTTAGTCGGAATTTTCCTACCTCTTTCTCTGTTTTTGGTTTTATTTTGTTTTTGATCAGGAGGTTTTTTTCCCTTTATGTTTCTGTCTTTTAGATATTTGGGGACCATATTTCCCCCTCACCCTCCTAGTGTCTAAAGTGGAAAGAAAACCAGGTGGAGGGGAGAGGACGGGAAGAGGCAGGGACCGGGGTCTGCTGCGCTCAGAGACTAGGAGGCGGCGACAGCGGCGCGGCTCCTGGCAGCAGCCGGAGAGCGCAGGCCGCTAGAGCTCGCCCGCCTGCCGTACTGCACCCGGCTTGAGAACCACCGTCTCGCCCAGGTCGCATGACACCGGCCGCCCCGGCGGGTTGAGGACTCACGGGGCACCCTATATAGCCAGCCCAACCCAGCTCGCGTCCCTCTGACCCCTCAGACCTCGGCAGCCACTTAGGAAACCTAGCAGCCAGGGCGCTTGCCCTCCTGACCAAGAGGAGGGCACTGGGTTTCCCACCCGGTTCCAGCGCGGGGTCCCAACCTCGGAGCCTAGGCGGCCACCGGGTGCCAGGCCTGAGGGCGCTGCCCGGTGCCCATGCTCCCTGGCCTACAGCAGTCTAGAAATCCTGCACCCAGAGCGATCCACCCGCAGCCGCAGTTACTGAGCAATCCAAGCGCAGAGACTTCCAGCGGCTGAATCGGGCCGGACCAGACCGGCAAACCTGCAGCCCCTGCCCCGCTAGCCTCAAGCGAGTTTCGGAGAAAGCGGGGACATCTGCGCCCCCTTCGTTTCTCTCCCGTCCCCTTCTGGAGGGACCAAGATCAAGCTTGGGCGAAACCCCTGGTGAGAGGCCTCTGCTCGGGCGGCGGAGGGAGGCCGGAACCTCTTGTTTTACCCCCGACCCCCTTAGCTCCCTATCTCTAGCCCCACTCCTCACCTCTCCCCTCCCTCCAAACCCCGACCATCAATAATTTAGGCCCCGGGAGAACTCGCGTTACCGGTATGAAAAGGCGGCAGCTGCGGGCAGATTAAAGATGAATAATTCAGCCTCTCCGGGCTCTGGGCCCGGCCGCTCGGCCCCAATCTAAGGGGTGGGGAGGAAAAGGGGGCACGGAGGGAGTCCAGGGTCGGGGGCCGACCGGAGCCGGCGCTGAGTAGGGCCCGGAATGCGCCAGCGCCGCCGGCGCGGACCCAGGCTGCGGTGTCTCGCCGGCCCGCCGGCCCGCGCCGCGGCTCTCTCCCTTCCTCCGACCACCTTCTGCTCGCCTTGCTCCCCTTTGGGTTTCACAGTAGCTCCTTATGGGCGTCCGGGACTCGGCGGATCCCCGGCTGAGTCGGCAAGAGAGGAGAGTAGCAGCCGGGCCGCGCGAGAGGCAGGCGGGCTGGGCGCAGACGGCGGGTGGAGCCGGTTCCACTCCCTCCGAGAAGGAGCTGGGCTTTCTGGCTCGCCTAGACCTGCGGCGGCCCGAAGCCCCCGGTTCGGGATTCCTGTGCTTGGAAATTACTTAGGGAAATATATTTTATCTCAGGAGCATTTTTTTTTTTTTTAAAGCTCCCCCTGTAACGCCAAATACATGCTTAGAGAAAAACACAGCCCTCCTCCTCGGCTCTCTTGTCCTAAGCATAGATCCAAGCCGGGTCTAAAAAGTTTCCTTGTGAAAAGTTATAAATTATCCTTAATTATTAATCTGCAGATGGAGAATTTTCTGTTTAGAATCTTGTCTTTAAAAAAAAAAAAAAAAGCCTGCAAAAAAAAATCTCGGCATAGTTTTCCAAGCTAAAAACATGACGAATTAGCTAAATTCAATTTTCATAAAAATAATTCCTTCTTTTCCTATTTTTCTATTTCTTTTCTCCTTTTTTTTCCCTGTAACGTCCTTTCAATTTTTTCCCTTTAATTTCCTTCCCTTTGTGTTGATTTCTCTTTCCTTTCTCCCCAGCTTTGGCATTTGCCTTCCTTTTGTTCTTTC